CCTCGGGCGGCGCTGCGCGTCCCCAGCCCTGGAAGAAGCGCTTCAACTTAAGACAACGCCTGGGAATTGCCGTGCAGGTGGCGGCCACAGTCCGGCCTGGGGGTCGCTTCGGATCGCGTCCAGTTGGAGCTCGGGGGTGGTGGAAGATGGAGTGGGTTTAGAGAGGATGTGAAAGAGACCAAACAATCATGTTTATGATGGGCGATCTGTCCCCAGTCACTGTGGCAACGGGAAGTCATTGGAAAGTGTGACTAGCGGCACTTCCTTACGGGCTGCCCTCTAGAGAGGAATGTAGCCTTGGACTCCGTAGGAGGGAAGGTAATTCTCGGAGCTTGCCCCAGGTCCTCGGCCAGGCAGCGGGCTGTGTTCCCTTCGGTTCTTAGAAGGGTAGACCGAGGTCTGAGGCTTTGTTTTAAAAGGAAGTGTCACGGCACTGATGTCGAGGCTTTATTTCTCTTTTCCTAGGGTGTCTTTTATGAATAATCAAAAGCAGCAGAAGCCAACGCTATCAGGCCAGCGTTTTAAAACCAGAAAAAGAGGTAAGTATTTAAGTTTTAATGTCACTAAACCTCGAGAAAATACAGAGAGGAACTGAATTTTTAGTTGACTACTGTTTCAGGTAACCCTTGGTTTTTCTACTGTTCTCCCAAGTCTTTCGTTTTTAGTGTCAGTAAATTTCTGAGCAGGTTAGTGCACCTACTTATTAGTGTGAAGGTAGAGTGCCTTTTAAAAAAAATAAATAAATGAGGACTGTGTTTTTACTAGCTAGCAGTTTCGAGCAGATGAGCAAATATGTTAAGTTGTGAAAGGAGAACTCCTATGTGGTCACATCTATTTTGTGAAGGTTGTCAGAAAAATTATCTCTATCCATGGAAGTTAATTATAGAATAGGATTCGCAATATAATGTATTTTGAAATAGAAACTTACTTAGGGAAGGTATGGAAATTATATCAACTACCTTTTTGTGTTAGTGGATACTTAAGTGAATATTGAATTCTGTAGCAAGGCACTGTGCTATTGATACAAAGCGAAATGAGATGCAGTCTCAGATACATTTTTGTATTACGCTTAATATTTTCCCAATGCCTTTTTCCCCCTGTGTTGCCCAGGCTGGTCTCAGAATTCCTGGGTTCAACCAGGAATAGCCTCCTGAGTAGCTGGAGCTACAGGTGCATGCTACTGCACCCAAAACACTTGTAAATATTATTGCTGAAAAAGCACATTATCTTTATTTTCCAGGAAGTTTTGAGGAAATAGAGAACTGGGTCAGCTACTGGTTGTTAAGTTTTTTCTTCTTATACGCTAAGTAGCTGACACTTTGAGATTTATATTCTAGAATCTTACAATCTCTACCCCATGTAGATTGGGGGAACCAAAGTGTGATTTGATTCTAGTCTTTGCAGATTCATTTAGATTTAGCTGGTAAATTGTATTAAGGGGCAGGATTTGTAGACTAGAGCAGTTCGATAGCGATGGAAAGTCTGTATCCTCTGAATATGTGATTCCTTGCTGCTATGTGCATTCTGATATCACCTTTGTATAAATAGTAGCAGCAACTATTATTATTACCAGCATCAGGGAAAGGTGTTGCCTTCCCAGTTGTAGGTAAAGATCATTTGTGGCCTCCTGACTATTGATTAGGATCTTGAGTAGGGTAAACAGCCATCTTTGTTTGACTAGGACAGAGGGGGTTCTGTGACACAGGCCTCTCAGTGCTAAAACCCATAAAGTCCCAGGCAAATAGGAGTTTGTTGCTTTGGTGCTGTGTGAAAATGAAGATGTCATCCGACCTAAATGGGGAGATCAAACTTTCCCCATGAAGGAAACTCAGTAGAGACCTGGTGTGCGCACAAGGCACTGGCCTAAACGCTTTCTGTTTTGTTAATATTTACAACTCTGTGGAATAGGTACTATTATTTTTTTTTTGAGTTGGCATCTCACTCTGTCACCCAGGCTGGAGTACAGTGGCACACTCACGGCCATTGCAGCCTCAACGTACTGGGCTCACGTGATCCTTCTGCCTCAGCCTTGAAAGTAGCTGGAACCACAGGCACCCGCCATCCCTCCTGGCTAATTTTTTTTTAATTTATTGTAGAGACAAGGTCTCCCCCAAGTTACCCAGGCTAGTCTCGAACCCCTGGGCTCTTGGACACTCCTATTGCACTCAACAGAATAGTTACTGAATTCTCCTATTTTACAATAGGGGAATTCAGGCCTGGAGCATGAGGTGTAGTTGCTTGAGTTTAGATGGCTCTGTGGGAACCAGGTAGTTTACCTCCAGAGTCCATGCTCTGAACACTATACAGTTGTCTCTTTTTTTTTGAGTTGGAGTCTCACTCGGTTGCCCAGACTGGAGTGCAGTGGCCGCTCTCGGCTACCGCAGCCTCGACCTGCTGGGCTCTGGCGATCCTTCCGCCTCAGCCTTCCAGGTAGCCAGAATTACAGGCATGCGCTCCCACACCCGGCTGATTCTTTGATTTATTGTAGAGATGAGGTCTCGCTGCCCAGGCGGGTCTCGAACCCGCGGGCTCAGGCAATCCACTCACCTCAGCCTCCAAAGGCGCGGGATTACAGGCTGAGCCACTGAGCCCGGCTACAGTTGTCTCTTAATTGCCTCATTTCTCTAAGTTTTCCTTCTAAATAATGGTGGGAAAGATCTACCTCACAAGGTTGTAAACAGGATTAAAGCAAAATACCTAATACAGTTTCTATCATAATGAATGCTGAGTAAATACACTTTCTAAAGACTTCCTCAATAAATGCCAAGTGAGTGGTTAGGTTTTTGGGTCTTTTGTTTGTTTAGTGCTATGGGCATTTAAAGGAAAGAATTAAGAACCCCAGTGTTTGGGCAGAATTTCAAAGAGATAAAATTTGCCTGTTTAGAGAATGGCCTAAGTTTTGAGAAAGCCAAGGGGCAGTAGGTAGAAGGGTATTCCAGGTAGAAATGACCTCGTGGCAGTCGGAACATGAGAAACGAACACATTGGGCTCATTATGAGATTTACTGGGAAAGGGAGTAGGAGGAGAGGTTCACACTTCTTGAGTCGGCCATCCTGCCTGCACCTCACAGAAACGCACAGAGGACGTGAACTTAACCTCCCGTCATGTTTGCTTGTTGCCAGTCTTGGGTAACCTAGTTTGTGTCTGCTTTACTTTTGCTGCTGAAATAACCGAAATTATGATAAATTTAGTTAACTTAGTAGTTATAGCTTCATAAGGTGTGGCATTTTGGTAAACCTTTTAAAACTAAGTGTCTTGGATTCCCCCCAGATGAAAAAGAGAGGTTTGACCCTACTCAGTTTCAAGACTGTATTATTCAAGGCTTAACTGAAACTGGTACTGATTTGGAAGCAGTAGCTAAGTTTCTTGATGCTTCTGGAGCAAAACTTGATTACCGCCGATATGCAGAAACTCTCTTTGACATTCTGGTGGCCGGTGGAATGCTGGGTAAGTGTCTTGTGTTTGTGGCTTTAATAATTTAGGGAATTGCAATGTATGGAGAATCCAGAAGATGAACTATTTGACAGGCCTATTAAAATGGGGTGGTCTGGGTTGTATTGTGTTTATTTTTACCCTTGTAGGCTTTTCCATGTTTTTCTCATACATCTGGTCTGTCTAGTCTCATTTGAAGTCTGTTGCAGAACCATAACCCTTAGGATGACTCTTCTTTTTCTAATAACTAAGACATCCTCAGTGATTTTTTTTTCCAACCTGTGTTTGTACACGCCCAATGGAGAAACGCTTACCTCTTGTTCTGTCCTGCGAAAGAGACTTCTGTATACCTACAGTCTCTGTCCTGCACTGCTCAATACAGTGGCCACTAGCTGCCTGTGACTGTCAAGTACTGACAAGCTGACTTTGTTATTAGTTCATCTTTTAGAATGCTGATCATTTTGTAATGAAAATTCTTGTAGAAAGTTAAGATTGAAATGATTGCTAATATAAAATGAAAGTGACCATACATTTTTTGTAAACTATACCTTAGCCCCAGGTGGTACACTGGCAGATGACATGATGCGTACAGATGTCTGTGTGTTTGCAGCACAAGAAGACCTAGAGACCATGCAAGCATTTGCTCAGGTAAATGAGGCTTTACATAGTTATTTTCAGTGGGCTACTGTCCATCGTTTAAGGGATGTTCTGCTTTTAATAGGTTGCAGGTAGAAAGTTGAAGGAGTATGCTGGGCTTGGTGGCTCAGCCTGTAATCCCAGCACTTTGGGAGGCCGAGGCGAGTGAACTGCCTGAGCCCATGGGTTCGAGACCTGCCCGGGCAACTTACTGAGACCTCATCTCTACAATACATTAAAAAAAAAAAAAAAAAATTAGCCAGGCGTAGTAGCGTGCGCCTATAGTTCCAGCTACTTTGAAAGGCTGAGGTGGAAGGATCACTGGCGCCCAGCAGGTTGAGACTGTGGTGGCCGGGAGCATGGCACTGCACTCTAGTCTGGGCAACAGAGTGAAACTCCAACTCTAAAAGAAAGTTGAAAGAGTTTTTTAAGTTTTAGGGATATTGTTGGTGCAGTGTGATGAATTAAAAACTTCAGATATGTGAAGGCCAACAAAACAGGGAAGGTTTAAATTGGCTCTCCTTTTTGTATTAGTCCCTCTGGAATTATTCCTCTTTTTTTTTTTTGGTTAGTTGGGGTCTCATTCTGTTGTTAAGCTGAAAAGGGAAATCAGTTTCCTGTTGTGCATTATAACAGGTAGAGAGTTTACCTCTTTGCTCTTCTAGAAATACCATGGGAAAGATCTCAGTGACCCTGATTTTGCTTTTTTAGGGACCTGGTAGCTGCACATATGAAATTATTGAATTCACTTAATGTTCTTCACAGGTTTTTAACAAGTTAATCAGGCGATACAAATACCTGGAGAAAGGTTTTGAAGATGAAGTAAAAAAGGTATGAGGAATAATTTACTTAGTGGAAAAGAGAAAGTTGAGGTTAGACAGAAGAATGTTAAATCCTAATTCCACCACAGATTTGAGCTAACTTTAGATATTTAGGTAGGCTGTTGATTTGGGGTATATAATTTAGTTTATCCAAATATTTCTGACTTGCTGTGCACTGTTTCTTAGCTCTGTGTGCAAATAAATGGCAAAGAGCTAAACATCAAAGTGGTTTTGTTCAGGAAATATAACCTACTTGGTATTTGAGTCTCATTCCTTAATATTTCACATGTAGATGCACATAGTAATAGTAACATTTATTGGGTACCAGGCACTATTCTCATTATATTGACTTATTATTTTTAAAAATGCTGTAAGGCAAGTTTCATGACTCATATTTTACATGTGAGAACACTGAGGCACAGTGGTGAAATAATTTGTTCAAGGTCACTCATCTGGTGAATAGTGTAACCATGGTGTAAATTTGGGTGGTTAGGCCCTGGAGCTCACAGGTTTAATAAATTGAGTGTGCTTCACTGCTTCTCTTAATGCAATGCAATTGTCCTTTTAACCTGTAAGTGTTTACTCTTTCAGCTGCTGCTGTTCTTGAAGGGTTTTTCTGAGTCAGAGAGGAACAAACTGGCGATGTTGACTGGTGTTCTTCTGGCTAATGGAACACTGAACGCATCCATTCTTAACAGCCTTTATAATGAAAATCTGGTTAAAGAAGGTAATCAGCCTTAGTGAAGGTGGAGTCAATAAGAGCATGATTTAAACAGTTCATTCCAATCCAGTAGATGTTTAATGTATACCGTTAGTATCTAGGTTTAATGGCTTTTTTTTTGAGTTGGAGTCTCCTTGCCACCTAGGCTGTAGTGCAGTGGCACACTCATGGCCTCCGCAGCCTTGACCTGCTGGATTCAGGCGATCCCTCCATTTCAGCCTTCCAGGCGTGTGCCACCACACCCAGCTAATTTTTTGTAGAGACAAGGTCTCGCCATGTTGCCCAGGCTGGTCTCCAACCTGTGGGCTCATGCAGTTCTCTCGCCTCCGCCTCCCAAAGTGCTGGGATTGCAGGCGTGAGCCATTGCACCCAGCTCTTAATGGCTTTCTTTAGAGTTTAGACAAAATATGGTTATATGTAATGAAAGTAAAGTGAGAGGTGCTGTGGGAACCTCAAAAGGGATGAATGCCAATTGGGAGACGTGGGGACATAATGGAGAGAATGACATTGAGGAAAATGTCAAACTGGAAAAGAAAATCAGCTCCCTGTTGCATTATTTGGTACAGTAAGTTTTTCAAGCTAACTTTTAACTACTTGGAGTACTGAACGCTTAAGTTACCTTACTCAAATTTTCACAACAGCTCTGTCAAGGGTTAGGGACTATTCCCCATAATTTACACTTTAGAAAACTTCAGCTTGGCCAAGAATATGCAAATAGCAGAAAGGGGGAAGTGGAGAAGTGGTCAACAGTGGCAGAGGAAGGTTCAGCATTAAACTTAGGGACGTGAGTGATCCTGTGTCATTGAATTGTGGAGAGGAAGATGGGCTGGAAGACCCTTCTGCTGAGCAGGCTTTGTTCTTTTCAGGGGTTTCAGCGGCTTTTGCTGTAAAGCTCTTCAAGTCATGGATAAATGAAAAAGACATCAATGCGGTAGCTGCAAGCCTTCGGAAAGTCAGCATGGACAACAGACTGATGGTTTGTCCCTTTCCTTTCTTCCCACTCTTGCCAGCAGATGTATTGAGAGAAATTTCTTATTTTTAAGTCTGAAAAAATGTTTTTGTTAATCTGATTTAAAGACCATTTAACCAGATGAAATTCTTCTTTTAGGAACTGTTTCCTGCCAATAAGCAAAGCGTTGAACACTTCACAAAGTATTTTACTGAGGCAGGCTTGAAAGAGCTTTCAGAGTATGTTCGGAATCAGCAAACTATAGGTGCACGGAAGGAGCTCCAGAAAGAGCTTCAGGAACAGATGTCCCGTGGGGATCCGTTCAAGGATGTAAGCTTGTTTTTTGTTTTTGTTTTTGTTTTTTTATGACTGAGCTTCTAGCATAGACATTCTCACTAACTTGAAAAACTAAAGTCGGCCGGGCAGCGTGGCTCAAGCCTATCATACTAGCACTTTGGGAGGCCAAGGTGAGGGGATTGCCTGAGCCCATGGGTTCGAGAACAGCCTGGGCAACTCGGCGAGACCTCGTCTCTACAATAAATCAAAAAATTAGCCAGGCATGGTGTCACGCACCTGTAGTTCCAGCTACTTGGAAGGCTAAGGCAGAAGGATCGCCTGAGCCCAGCAGGTTGACGCTGAGGTGGCCGTGAAAGTGCCACTGCACTCCAACCTGGGTGACAGAGTGAGACTCCAACTCAAAAAACAAAAGAGAAATTAAAGTCTTTTCATCGGGATGAATTTGAGTTAATAGTTAGAGAATATTGCCCTGCAACTTTGCCCCAGCCTTTGACACACGTTTATTCGGTGCCTTCCAGATGTCCAGAAACTAAGCCTGGGGTTCAGCTCTTCTGGGTCTAGAGGTTTTGTTTCCATGTGGTACTGCTAGTTGTACAGAAAGGTGTTATTATGTTTTTGTAAAAGGACTTAAGTTTATGTATGGAGTATGTGCATAGCAAAACTGACTTATGTTACTAAATTTTTATTTTGCAGATAATTTTATATGTCAAGGAGGAGATGAAAAAAAACAACATCCCGGAACCGGTGGTCATTGGAATCATCTGGTCAAGTGTCATGAGCACAGTGGAGTGGAACAAAAAAGAGGAGCTTGTAGCAGAGCAAGCCATCAAGCACTTGAAGGTATCCGAGCTGCACCTTGACAGGGTGGACTCTGGCTGCTTTTCTAAGAGGATTTGTCACATCCTATGGCTCCTGGGCATGACCACTAGCCAGCAGACAGATGCATAGTAACTGTTGGTGACAGCACTTGGCTCTAAGTTGGGCTTCCTTTGGTTCGCAGGTTAAACACAAGAACACATTTAGAAGAAGCTGCTTATGCCTGCAATTTGATGTTCACTTTTGAGGGGTTATTGGGAAATAGGAGTGCTCTTTTTTCCCTCTAAAATACAAATATTGTTTGACAGTTATTTTGAATACTTGCTGCAGCATTATCTTTTTGACTTAGGTGCTTAGATTTTTCTGCTTTACTGTTTGTTTTAGTTTCCAGTAAATAGATTATAGTTCACAGTGATTATAAAAGGTGGGTTGCGCCGGGCTCGGTGGCTCAGCCTGTAATCCCGCGCCTTTGGGAGGCTGAGGTGAGTGCATTGCCTGAGCCCGTGGGTTCGAGACCCGCCTGGGCAGCGAGACCTCATCTCTACAATAAATCAAAAAATCAGCCGGGCATGGTAGCGCATGCCTGTAATTCCGGCTACTTGGAAGGCTGAGGCGGAAGGATCACCAGAGCCCAGCAGGTCGAGGCTGTGGTGGCCGGGAGCGGCCACTGCACTCCAGTCTGGGCGACAGAGTGAGACTCCAACTCAAAAAAAAAAAATAAAAGGTGGGTTGCATTCTGTGTTTCAGGGGTTTGTAGTGGATGGTCATAGTCATGAGTGACTAAATCTTTACTCCCTTCCTTTTAAAAGCAATACAGCCCTCTACTTGCTGCCTTTACTACTCAAGGTCAGTCTGAGCTGACTCTGTTACTGAAGATTCAGGAGTATTGCTATGACAACATTCACTTCATGAAAGCCTTCCAGAAAATAGTGGTGCTTTTTTATAAAGGTAATTTAAGTTTTAAATTTTGTGAATATTTTAATGCAAATCCTTGAACACTCAAAATAATTGAAATGAGTAGTTACCTGAATATCAGCTCCCTGAAATATTTTACTTGTAGAGTCACCTTTATGGCCAGGCATAGTGGTTCACTCCTATCATCCCAGCACTTTGCGAGGCTGAGGCAGGAGGATCGCTTGAGGCCAGTTGTTCAAGACCAGCCTGACTAACAAAGTGAGACCCTGTCTCTAATGTAAAAACAACTTTTTTTTTTAAAGAAGTTGCCTCTGATTGAGTGCTTTTTTAGTGTATTGGTATTAAAATATCTCTAGACTTCATTTGCAAGCTAAGTTATAAAATCTAAAGCCTTCATTTTGCACCCTCAGACACGCCTGTCTCTGTAGTCTCCAGCAGGTACGGAGCCTGCTTCTCCTCCTTCCCCACTCCTGATGGTAACTATCACTAGTCCTTCAGGGGCAGTTCAGAAGTGCTTCTGTAAAGTTCCATTTCCATTATTGTTCCCTTTTCTGTGGTCCCAGTTCCAGGAACATGGTGGGTGAGAGTCCATTGTAGTTATTGAATTACTGTGTTTGGTGGTAACACTTCTAAATTCTGAATTTATAAGGCCAGCCTCAATCGTCATGTGGTTGGTGTGCACACATATTCTATCCCCTCGTTTTCACTGGTGGTTTTGTTGGTGTCTGTAATTTTCTATTTTATGCTTAGAATAGTAATCTACCTTGATACCCAGAACTTTTTTTTTTTAAAGACTGTATGGGGTGATGAACTCAGTATTTATGCTTCAGTGATTAGGTTTCTTGAAAGCATTTATACACCTTCATCCTGCTCTAAGATTATTAGAAACAATCCTTGAGACCAGTCATGGTGGCACACACCTATAATCCCAGCACTATGGGAGGCTGAGGCAAGAGGATTGCCTGATTCTGAGGTTCAAGACCAACTTGGGCAACTTGATGAGACCTTGTCACTAAATTAAAAAATTAGTCAGCTGTGGTGGCGTACACCTGTGGTTCCAACTACTTGGGAGGCTGAGGGAGATGGATTACTTCAACCCAGAAGGTAGAGGCTGTAATGAGCTGTGATCATACCACTTGCACTCCAGCCTGGGCAGGCATGGAGACTCCAACTCAAAATAAATAAGCAGTTCTTGAAAAGGTCTTTAGATTCTTGGATTTCTGAGCATGGCTCTATGAAATAGAAGAATTTTTTCTTTTTTCTTTTTATTTTTTTGAGTTGGAGTCTCACTCTGTCACCCAGGCTGGAGTGCAGTGGCCACTCCCGGCCACTGCAGCCTCGATCTACTGAGCTCCGGCGATCCTTCCACCTCAACCTTCTGAGTAGCTGGGACTAGAGGCGAATGCTACCACGCCTGGCTAATTTTTGATTTATTGTAGAGATGAGGTCTCACCAAGTTGCCCAGGCGGGTCTCAAACCCGCAGGCTCAAGCAGTCCATTCACCTCAGCCTCCAAAGCGCTGGGATTACAGACTGAGCCACCAAACCCAGCTGACTTTTTCTTTTTAATAAAATTGTCTTTTTTTGACACCTAAAAAAATTAATGAATTTTCTGTCTAATATCCCTGATTATTTAACACAGGGTTTTTTGGCTTTTATTTTGTTTTTAGTCTGAGTCTTAACTCTGTTGGTCCAGGCTGAAGTGCAGTGGCATACGGCTACTGCAGCCTCAACCTGCTGGAGTCAGGTGATCCTTCCAAGTAGCTGGAACTGTGGGCACGTGCCACCACACCAGGCTAATTTTTTTTATTTATTGTAGAGATGAGGTCTTGCCATGTTGCCCAGACTGGTCTCAAACTCTTGGGCTCAGGTAATCCTCTCACTTTCACCTCTCAAATTACTGGGATTACAGGCATGAGCCACTATGACCAGCCTATACGGTTTCTTAACTTTGGCATTGCTAATATTTTGGGCCAGTTAATTCCAGTAAATGACTATCTTTCGTGTGGCATCCCCGGCCTCTGTCCAGTAGATGCCAGTAGCACCTCTTTCTAATGTGACAGCCAAGAATGTCCCTTGGGGGCAAAATTGCTTTCAGTTGAGAAAAATCACCTTTTTTTTTCCCCCAGTTTATTGTAGGGTTGTACTTTGGCAACAGGTTGATAAAACTCTCTTAATATAGGGGTCTTGTTTCCTTTTTTCTGTACTGCCCGAAATTAATGGTTGTGAAGAAGCCAGAGTTTTAAATAACAGATTTATCTTGCAAACAACGAAAGTAACGGTACTTAACTTTTTAGTAGGCTCTTGCCTGCCAAGCGGGCATTTGCACCTTAGGTGGTTCTAACTGCCCGAAGTAGAGAAATCTTTAAAATTCCACTAATGCAATGATTCTTCTTCAAAGCTGAGGTCCTGAGTGAAGAGCCCATTCTGAAGTGGTATAAGGATGCGCATGTTGCAAAGGGGAAAAGCGTCTTCCTTGAGCAAATGAAAAAGTTTGTAGAGTGGCTCAAAAATGCTGAAGAGGGTAAGTCCCATCTGTTGTGCAGTTTGTTTGGTGATGCTTGGAGCCTAATTTTAATGTGACCTTGGTATGTGTCCTTTCATTCTGGTGCCACTTGGTTCCTGGAGTACAGATTTTCTCACGATTGACTTCAGGCAGGTAAAGAAAACTAACTTCAGTTATTCGTGTATTGATGACTCAGCCATATACTAAACATTCTTAGGGAAATTGAAACTTTTGAGAATATTTGGTATTTGGGGACTCTGAGATTTCTAAGTGAATACTTTTGAATATCCCTCTCATCTAAGTAGAATTATTATTAGAATTTCTTATGATAAAAAATTTAAAGTTATAAATGGGAGCATTTGCCTTCTGATATATAATGCTTGACTGCATTTTTCCCCCTTTCTAGAATCTGAGTCTGAAGCTGAAGAAGGTGACTGAATTTCGAAACTGCACCCTCAGTAAAGCAAACAGGAGTTGTAGATACAATGTCATGTCTCATGTGTCCTGGTTCTTACATCTTCCTACCTCCCTATATCAAGCATGATATAAGGGCTTTCATGGCAAATTTTATTTTAACTGTTTCTGTGGTTACTGGAGATGTTGGATTTAGTTTCTGAAACCATGTTTGAAGTAGCTACAGGAGCTATAGATTTGAATCTAATGTTGCATTTATCTTTTCAGTTATCTTCTACCTCCTGTATTTTCTACTGTAATAATGTAATTTAAGGCCTTCCACAATGAACAGTTCACTTTATTCCCTGGGTTTTCTATAAACAGTTTTCAAGATATGATTTGGTTAAAAATAATTTGTTATAAAAATTCTGTTTGCAAATTAAACTGTATAAGTATCCAAAGTCTCAAAAGGCAATGATTTGTGTGATAATGTGGTCGGCCCAGAGCCCTGCTCATCAGTGAAAAACTCATCAGCAGTCATTGGATTCATTCCCATGAATCGAGTATTTGGGCCATTACTTGCATATTAACATTTTCTTGCATTTCTTACCCCAGATGTCCTTGCTTGCTCTCTGGTTTCCATCCTTAGTGAAGCCAGAAGTGTAGGAACTCACATGTGCAGTGGCAGTGGGAAGAGCTGAGCTTTTTCCCCACTGAGAACCTTTTGCATTCACTTTGTATCTTCCCAGCAAAACAAATGGGTATTCTTTACAAGTACAACCATTTGCAAATGTATCTTAGAAAAGTCTTGTCATTTAGAGTATTTTTTGCTCAGAATACACATGGATTGATAGAAAAGGAACTTGTAAAGGAGTTTGAGTAAAGTAAATGACCATACTAAATACGAAACCCAGTAAAAATTGAAAATTTTAACAGCATGTTCTCACTGGGAATCTAGATACGATTTAGATTTCCATTGGCTTGGAGTATTTGTCATGAAGAATGAAGTGCAGTTGGTCGTACTGGCCTGGCTTTGTCCTGTGAACGAGTTCAGTGAGGACTCACGAATCTTGCTATTAACATACCGTAGTTGCCATTTGTTAATTGCCATGAGCCAAATATTTCTTCTATACAAGTAATCATTTATTTTTAATGGCTGCCTTTTAGTTTTCATCTTTCCTTTCTTGCTGCTACCCATCTATGTATATAGTCTTTAGGGGGGAAAAATGTAGCCACATTTTTTAATGGAAAGACTTTGTGTCAAAAGTGAGCATTTTGAAGGTTTATTTGGTGAAAGAAACTAGCCTGAAATAAGGTCACCAGAGACTGAGTGGAAACTGCTGCTTTTGAAGGTGCCATTCTTTGGAACCAAGAGTTTCGTGTTTAAAAGTTAATCTTGAGGGAATAACATGTAATATAATTTGAAATAAAAGTATAATGAACTTAAAAAGAACATTATAACTGATAATATTGTGAATGGGGAGAATTTGTTAAATGAATAACTTTGATAAAGTTTTCATGCACATGCAAAATGTATTCACTAGATTTCTACATAGTGATCTGCTTTTACTTTGTAATTTGTAGTCCTCAAAAGACTTTTTTTAAAAAAATAAAGTCCATCCTTACACCTTAGGCATTTATAGATTAGTTTTTTTGGTAAATTCCATGTTAATATGTAGTAGTATTATTTGTTGTGTGCTCAGACGTCTTTACTGTACAGCATTAAATAATTATTCCTTTCATCCTTATGACTCCCAAACTGTAAACACCTACACAGAATTCTGATGTAGCTGAAATTATATTAACAATTCTACAACCAAGTCATCATTGCATGTTACTGCCGTACCAAGTGTGCCCTGTTTTATTATATACCGTGTATAGTGAGAATGTGTAGTCTTCCAGAACTACGTTATGATCTTTGATCATAGTTTTTTCCTTCATAATGACACGGTAGTGTTAACTTAGTACAATATCATAGTAAATGAATAAGTCGCCTATTACGTGAAGAAAGGGAATGCTGTAGTAAAAGATAGGTTTTCATTTTGAATCTTACGTGGTAATTTTTTAGCTCAGCCAATGCCAATGTATGGCCTCAAACATGTAATTAATATATATGTTAGATTGTACTTTTAATGATTGGATAAATGCTAATTGATTTTCTTTACCTGGTGTCAGTTTCTAAGAATGTCACCTCTTGGAAACTAGTATTATTAGAGCTGATTATGTTTCTTAATCTTGCTCTGGGAGTATAGCCCTAGAGATACTTACTCTGTTCTTTAAAAAACTTCATATTTCAAAAATGGCCCCCAGCTGTTGTGATGTGGCACAGTGATGGTAGTGGGGGGAATATTTGTGGCCAAGAGGTTGACTTCTCATCCCATTTTTCTAAGGCTTTTTCCCATTACCAGCACCCCTAAGCTATGTGTGTCAGATACGCTATATGTATTGTACCTGTGCTTCAGGCAATTTTTTGAGTTGGAGCCTCACTCTGTTGCCCAGACTGGAGTACAGTGGCACGCCCACGGCCACCTCAGCCTTGACCTGTTGGGCTCAGGTGATCCTTCCACCTCAGCCTTCCTAGTAGCTGGAACCGCAGGCACGCGCCTCCACACTCAGCTAATTTTTGTGATTTATTGTAGAGATGAGGTCTTGCCGAGTTGTCCAGGCTGGTCTCAAACCCCTGGGATCAGACAGTCCTCTTGCTTCTGCCTCCCAAAGTGCTGGGATTACAGGTGTGAGCCACTATGCCCATCTGTCTTAAAGGAGAAGAAGTCCTGCTTATAGGCATTTGCACTGGCAGACATAACTTGATGCTTACCTGTACTGTGAAGCAGTACTGTTTTCTGTCAGGGTCAGTAAAAATAGGCAACATTTTTTTCTGCCCATCACTTCTGCCAGTTGTGCTTGTCCATTAGTCCTCTGTAGGCACCCAGCAGAGTGTCTCCCATTGGCTTTTGAGTTCTTCACAGCTTCTCACTTGGTTGTAAATGTATCATGTAGAATCAATGGGGTTCCTTCTATAAAAATGTATAAAAAACAGTGAAAATCCTGTGTTTTAACGTTGCGGGCATAACAATGATAGTGAAATTTTACTGTCAGCAGGCGGCTTGCGGGAACTTGGCAGCCATTGATTGGCTTTAAATGTAACATAGAAGCCAAAGTTTTAGTGAGCATTATTACTTAGACTAATGAGTTACCTTGTAAAGATACTCCTCAGATGCTATTTACAGGTGCCAATGTAAAATAGGTTCCTAAGTACTCCTGTGAGAATCTTAGCCAGTTGCCTTGCTGTGGTGTTCCCATGTCTCCAGTCCGGTATTACATGAAGCATTTCTGTTCCACCCCTACTGAGGCCTAAAAGTATTAGGAATAAAGTTTTCAGTAGGCTTGTTTTAAATGGAATTTGAATGTGTGATAAGTTCTTCTGACATCAAAGTAATGAATTTATAACTGGCTTTCCTTTGGATTGAGTGGTTTAGTATGAGCATGCACGTCTTAGGCATGATCGGGTCAAATTGTGGGTCAGAGAGACTTCCTGGTTCCTTCCCACTTTCCCCCTCATTTAACTATGGGCATTTAGCAGCCGTATCAAATCCAATCGCTTTCATTTTCCAATGCATTTACTTTTATCTTGATTCTAGGTTTATAGTCTCAGCTCTTAATGAGTTGAAAGAATGAAGATATTTGACAGATGTACTCAGTCACTGTCAGTTTTGTACCCTTAATCAGAACCTTAGTTGAAAGCTCAACTGCTTGCGGTACCCACTCTAGTGTCTTAGAGCTTTGTAGGCTTTATCCAGAAGGACTGATGCCTTGTTCAGCTGTGGTACAATTAGCTGTTTTATGGTTGTGTAATGGGTTTGGGCTGCTACAGTGTTATCAAGTGTAACTGAGCTGTTCTGTTTCAGAGAACTCCCAGTCCTAGTAACCATTTAAAACTAAGCAAAGCCAACTAGGAGCCAGTTCATGCTAACATGGTTAAGGGCAAACTGGAAATGTTTTTTGTAAGGCTGAAATCCTAAAGACTGCTTAAAAGTTAACTTGGATGGAAACTTGTCGGAAATGAGTGATCTGTTTGTAGATGGAAGCCTCTGTTACTTCAGAAAGACATTCAGCAGTCTGGTATTTTCAGAATAAAGTACTTTGTGAATACGGCTTATTTCCATCCCAGTTAGGAGTGCAGCGCCCGGCACAGACACGGAAGGACAAGAAGACCAGAGAGCCGGAGGTACAGACGGCTCGCACGCCCAGCGCCCGAGCACACACCCACCCGCTATCCTACTACCGCGCTGTTTAATTGTGAAAACTTGCTTCTTGTCTGTACCCTTGACATTGAATAAACTCTCATGAGACTCTTGTTGCGGTAGAGGACACAGTGACTGTCAGTTGATTGGTGTACACAAGCCCGAGGCCCCAGTCTTCCCCACCCTGCCCCTGTGTGTCTGAGGCCTGGGCCTCTGGCCCTTCCTCCAAGTCCACTTGGGCTTGTGTATGGCTCACACGTACTTTAGACCGTTACCCACACATCTCCAAAACTGCCAGTGTTTCATTTCAAAAGATCGAATAAACCATCTGCTCCAGAAAGCTTCCGGTCCTATGTGCTTCAGCCCAGGTGTCTACAGGGTCAGATCCTGTCCATGCCAACTCCAAAATAACCTCTCCAGTGCTGCCACTGTCATTCAAGACACTCGTGCCTGGTTAGTGACCGCTGTCATTTGCTTCATTTTTTGACCAACAGCCAGGGTAGACTAAATGCATCGAGTTGAACTTTTTGTTGTTTTGACTTGGAGTCTCTCGCCCAGGCTGGAGTGCAGTGGCACGCGCACAGCCACCACAACCTACTGAACTCAGGTGATTCTTCCATATCAGCCTTCCAAGTAGCTGGAACCACAGGCATGCGCCACCACGCCCACCTAATTTTTTGGTTTATTGTAGAGGTAAAGTCTTACAAAGATGCCCAGGTGAGTCTCAAACCCCTGAGCTCAGGCAAACCTCTTGCATAGGCCTCCCAAAGTGCTGGGATTACAGGTGTGAGCCACTGCACCGAGCAGGGAGATAAACATTTAAAAGTCTTTGCCTGTGTGCCTGAGCCCAGGAGGTCGAGGCTGCAGTGAGCTGCGATCGTGCCACTGCACTCCAGCCTGAGCGACAGAGTGAGACCTCGGGTCAAAATATAAAAAGGAAAAAAACTCTGCACCTGGAAGGTCTTGCATGAACTCATCTACCTTTTCCTCTTATTAGTACTGTGTGCTTAGTGACTGGTAGTGCTTGTCACATAGTAAGAATGCAAATAATTAAAGGAGAACAAAAACATGGACGATACTTCTTGGATTACTAACAAGGGAGGATGGAGTGAGGAAAGGAGAGAAGCTTACAAAACCCATCAACTCAAGCTGGGCGCGGTGGCTCATGCCTGTAATCTTAGCACTTTGAGGTTAAGGCAAGAGGATTGCCTGAGCCCAGGGATTCGAGACCAGCCTGGGTAACATGGTGAGACCTCATCTCTACAATAAATCAAAAATTAGCTGGGCGTGGTAGCGCACGCCTGTAGTTCCAGCTACTTGGAAGGCTGAGGCAGAGGATCGCCGGAGCCCAGTAGGCTGATGCTGGAGTGGCTGTAAGCAAGCCACTGCACTCCAGTCTGGGGGACAGAGTGAGACTCCAACTCAAAAAAAAAAAAATAAATAACAGATGAGGGTCTCACTATGTACAGGCTGGAGTGCAGTGGAGACTCACTGGTATAATCCCACTACTGATGAGCACGGGGGTTTTCACTTCACTCCTTCAACCTGTTCCCTGCTCCTGGGATGTCAGTATATTGATGCCAAACTTAGTGCAGACAGGTTACTATCAACACAGAGCCCAGAATAGGGCTCAAGTGATCCTCCTGCCTCAGCCTCTAAGTAGCTGGGACTATGGGCGTACACCCCCATGCTGAGCTTATTATCATTATTAAAAGATAACTAGGGGCCAGGCAAGGTGGCTCACACCTGTAATCCCAGCACCGAGAGGCAGAGGCGAAGCGACTGAGCCCAGGGGTATGAGACCAGCCTGGATAACGTGGCAAGACCTCATCTCTATAATAAATCAAAAAATTAGCATGTGCCGTGTAGTTCCAGCTACTTAGAAGGCTGAGGTGGAAGGAGGGATTACCTGAGCCCAGCAGGCTGTGGCTGCGGTGACCATGAGTGTGCCACTGCACTCCAGCCTAGGTGACAGAGACTCTGACTCAAAAAATAAAGACAACTAGGCCAGGAGTGATGGCTCATGCCTGTCTGTATTCCCAAAAACTGAGGTGAGGGATTGCTTTGAGCCCAGGAGTTCAAAACCAGCCTGGACAACACAAGACCACCTCTACAAAAAAATAAAAAAGTTAGCCAGGTGTGGTGGCTGGCATGCATCTATGTAGTCCCAGTTACTCGGCTACTTGGGAGGCTGAAACAGGGGGATCGCCTGAGCCTAGGAATTTGAGGCTGCAGTGAGCTGTGATCGTGCCACTGAACTCTACCCTGGGCACCCTGTAGAGTGAGACTCCGACTCAGAAAAGCAAAACACACATAAGACTGAAAGGCACAGAGCAGCCTTGGGAGCCCAGGAATAACATGGTGACAAGCTATTCCTGGCTTCTCCTTTTGCCTCACCTATCCTAAACCTGACGCTGGAGAAACTGGCAAGTGGAAACACCAATAGGTGCAGGAGAAAAAGTCTCAGAACAAGTTGAGGCTGGGCATGGAGGATGAGGTGAAGATTGCTTGAGCCCGGGAGTTTGAGACCATCCTGGGCAACACGAGATCCCGGCTCTACAAAAACAAAAAAGTCATCTCCGGCCAGGCCAGGAAAAGGGTAGGCTAAACCGACAGAGATGTTCAGGCAATGACTGCTCTACTCAGCCAAAAGTTACAGGAAGAACTCAGGCCCCACCACAGCCACCAGCGGAAACTGAGCAGGGGATGACTCCCGCCCTCACCAGGTAATGAGGTTCCCCAGTCCCTGAGAAGGTCCTGTCCGGGGATGGTTGAGCAGGAGCCAGCCTTCCCTCCCTGCAGGTGGCAACAGTCCTCTCCACCCCACAATGTCAGCAGAGGCCATCTGGAGGCCTGGCCTTCCGTCCCATCAGGGGTAACAAGACAACCCTCCCCGCCATCCCCGAGTGTGGCAGCTGAGGTGGTCAGTGATGATAGCCCACTCCACCAGGGCCAGCGAAGGCCACATGAGGCCACGAGGTAATCCCGCACTTCCCAGCCAGGGGGCAGCAGAAGCCAGGTGGGGGCCAGAATTCCCACCCGGCCCAGCAATCATGGGCGTCCCTCCCTGAGCCTGGCCGTCCAGAAGCCGAGTGCTCTTGGACGTCAGCCCCCACTGGGCAGTGACAAAGAGGTGCCCACTTTCCCACGAGGATGGTATCAGAGGTAGCTTAGTAAAATAAAATATTCACATAAAACCCAGTATCCCATTTTTTTTTTTTTGAGTCAAGGTCACACTCTTGCCCAGGATGAAGGGTAGTGGTATAATCAGCTCACTAGGCCACCACTCCTGGCCTGGTTGTCTTTGTCTTGAGTCGGTCTCCTTTGCCCAGACTGGAGTACCATGGTATGCCTACAGCCACCACAGCCTCGACCTGCTGGTTCAGGTGATCTTGCCACCTCAGCCTCCCAAGTAGTTGAAACTATGGGCACACGCCATTCCCGGCTAATTTTTTTTTTGTAGAGACGAGTTCTCGTCACGTTGCCTAGGCTGGTCTCCTAACTCCTGGGCTCAAGTGATTCTTTCACCTTGGCCTGCCAAGTGCTGGGATTACAGGCATGAGCTACCAACCCAGCTAATTTTTTTTTTTTTTTTGAGTTGGGAGTCTCACTCTGTTGCACAGGCTGGAATGCAGTGGCACAGCAGACAGCCTAGACCCTTACAAGGCGACTGAAATGACTTGGGCACAACTGACATGGAGCCACCAGAGCATTTTGAGATGAGTGATATTTTCATCAGGCTCACTCTGGCTATGTTAACAGACTGGAGCTAGTTAGGATGGGTGACTGGCTGACCGCACGGATGGCCCAAATTCTCCATCCCTTCTGTCCCGTAACTTTGTGGTCCCTTCCATGTGGACTCTGGGCTGGGCCACATGACATTCTTTGAAATTGGGATGTTACCAGATTTGCTCTGGGGCACACCATTCCTGAGAAGGCACAACCCTTAAAGCCTAGAATGGCCTCACTTTTATTTATTTATTTTTTTTGAGTTGGAGTCTCACTCTGCTGCCCAGACTGGAGTGCAGTGGCTGCTCCCGGTCACCACAGCCTCGACCTGCTGGGCTCCAGCGATCCTTCCGCCTCAGCCTTCCGAGTAGCCGGAATTACAGGCGCGCACTACCAAGCCCGGCTAATTTTTGATTTATTGTAGAGATGAGGTCTCGCTGCCCAGGCGGGTCTCGAACCCGTGGGCTCAGGCAATCCACTCACTTCAGCCTCCCAAATGCGCAGGATTACAGGCTGAGCCACTGAGCCCGGCCTGGCCTCACTTTTAAACCCGAGAAAATATAAGCCATTAAGGTTTAGTCATCCATTGCAGCGCTATTCACAATACCAAAACCATGGAACCAACCAGAAAAAAAAAGTCATCCAATTTAATACATTTTACTTTCAAACATGTAACTAACGCACTTCTGATGCCCAGATCTTAGGCTAAGAATTGATATGAATGATTATTGATGCCAGCACCTTCCATGGCAACATTTAACTCAGAGAAGGAAAGCTTAAGACCCAATTTTGACCATCCATAAAATGGGAATAAAGGTAAACATTTCTAAAGATTTAAGGAAACCTCCAAAAAGAGAAATGTATGCCCATTCTTTAATGTGACAGAGAAAAATTGTGCATATGCATATATATCTCATAAACACAAAGTTTATTCTGAATAAATCACTTTACAATCACTGAAAAAGGTTCATTACTTAAGCTATGTATTTAACAAATCAAACAAAATAAACATGGCAATGTAAAAATGTAAGAAATTTACGAAGTTGTACAAAATAACTTACTATTTAAAAATTAGACTGATACAGTCTATAAGATCTCTTTTGAGAGAGCTGTACAATTATAGATCTATACAGTTTTCTTCAGTGTGTCAAAGAAAGGATGCTTCAAGGCTTCTCTGAGAGTAATTCTTCTTACTGGATCATACTCCAACATTTTCTGAATGAGGTCAAAGAGAAGCTCGTGTTCAGCATCCTGAGAAAGCATAAATTCCTGAAAGAGAAAGAGAAATATGGTCAACAGCCTTTACTACCACATACTGTATTTATTTCACCATAAAAACAGAACAAATTCAACGTTGATTATTTCAGCAATGTCCCAGGCTTACCTTCAGAGGTTTACAGCGCCTTGAAACATATCTGCCAGCAGAACTGTGTTCATCCCAGTCCAGTCGATCATGGTGGAAATATTTACGTTTCCTAAAAACAAGTCAACAACCATTCATGTTTACAACACCGAAAATTTAAAAATAGCTAGCAAAGGTAAATGACTGCAACAAATAGTATGCTTCTATAGATAAAAGATCAATACTTTTCTAGAGATATAAAAGGCAGCCAAAGGACAGAAAAGTTAACTGATTCACACCAAGGTAACTACTTAACTGACGAAGTGTTGGTTTGACTTCATTATTTATTTACAAAGTTTTAATCAGTTTCTGAGACTTGGTAAAGTGAAAAAATGTAAAAAGGAAAAAAATTTGGATTTAGGATTGGCACTAACTCTTTAATAAAACATACCTAGTTTTCTGTATCATATGTCTTGGTAGAGGTCCAAGAATCCTTTCCATCATTGCTAAGTGTTCTTTACTATCATGTGTCTGAAAATAATGAAGGAAAAACAAACTTTAAAATGCATACTAATTTTAGCACATTACAGCTGACAGCAAAAATCAATGAGGGCCTACAGAACAAGCTTGCTGATGAGTCCCTAAAAGGACAGAAATGATTATAATATACTCGCAAGTGTTTTAAAAAGGGCAACCCCCTTGGGTCCCCTCCCACTCTGGGAGCTTTTCTGCTCTCTTACTTAAATCCTTTCTAAAAAAAAAAAGTGTTTTAAATAAAGCGATTAATTACTAAAGAAATATAAATGACAATTACATTTTATTTCTCTACACCTATCTACAATTCATAGTTTACGAGAGGAAAATGCTGTTTAAATGTAAATGTAGGCTGGGCATAGTGGCTCATGCCTATAATCCCAGTACTTTGGGAGGTAGAGACGAGAGGACTGCTGGAGCTCAGGGATTTGAGACCAGCCTGAGCAACGTGGTGAGACTTTGTCTCTATGATAAATAAAAAAATCAGCCAATGTGGTGGCTCATGCCTGTGGTTCCAGCTACTTGGAAGGCTGAGGTGAAAGGATCACCTGAGCCCAGCAGCTCGAGGCAGTGGTGGCCATGAGCGTGCCACTGCACTCCAGCCTGGGCGACAGAGTGAGACTCCATCTGAAAAGAAGAAAAAAAAAAAAAGAAAAAAGTAAATGTACACTTTAAGATAATGTATTCATCTACATAAGCAGGCACCTTTCTTCTAGAAAGCAGTGAAATAGATCATTGTAACTTACAGGAAACACTGTAAACCCAAGGTAGTATTCAATAAGAATACATCCTATACTCCAGACATCACATGGCTGGGACCACCCGAGAGCTGCAAAACAAGAGCAAAATGTAAGGAAAAAAAAACCTTGTCAGTCATTAAAAGTTAGTAAACAAGACATTTGCATGTGCCACCACACCTGGCTGATATTTTTATTTATTGTAGAGATGATGTCTTATTATGTTGCTCAGGCTGGTATGGAACCCTGGGCTCAGGCAATTCTCCTGTCTCCACCTCCCAAAGTGCTGGGATTACAGGTTTAAGCCACCGTGCCTGGCTGACACTTTTTTAAAAAAAGGGATATGTGAAGATAAGAGCTGGAAGGATCATAAAGGAACCACTTAATCTGAAGTTAAGAGCTGGGCACAGTGGCTCACAGATTGAGAATCTGACTCAAAAACAAAATAAAACAAAAAACTAAAGCTAAATGCAATATACTAGCATTGTAAGTAAGAATTATAGGCTTGGCCGGATTCAGTGGTTCAGCCTGTAAACCCAGCACTTTGGGAGGCCAAGGCGAGTGGATTGCCTAAGCCCGCAGGTTCGAGACCCGCCTGGGCAACTTGGGGAGACCTCGTCTCACAATAAATCAAAAACTAGCCGGGCGTGGTAGCATGCTCCTGTAGTTCCGGCTACTTGGAAGGCTGAGGTGGAAGGATCGCTGGAGTTCAGCAGGTCGAGGCTGCAGTGGCCACGAGCATGCCACTGCATTCCAGCCTGGGAGACAGCGTGAGGACTCCAACTCAAAAAAAAATTATAGGCTTTATAGACACCTGGCTTCAAGTCTCATGGAAGTTGGTTTCCACCTTTGGAACTAGTGATTTGGGGGAAAGAAAATGTCTGAGCCTCCAAGTATGAAGTATCTGGGATATAACAGGTATTAAATGAATACATTAAAACCCTTACCACATAATACAAATGTGAAAATAATTCCAGAATAGCTAAGCAAGTCACCCAAAGTCCCAGAGATATATTAGCTGGAACAATTGAGAGCTCAAAATCCTTACTGCATTTCATACGCATCTGTAATAAAATCCTACAAATATTATGACCTACAACTACAAATAAATTTTAAGTTCACTTCAGTAAGTAAATATAAAAGTTCTCCAAGCATAAATAATCGATACTAACCTAAGATAACTTCAGGTGCTCTATAATGTCTTGTAGAGACCAATGTGCTGTGGTGTTCATCATCATATGTTGCACTTCCAAAGTCTACAACTTTAATATCTGGATTTATTAAAGTACGTTCATCACGTTTCTAAAAATTATAAATGACAGTTAAGAAAGTTTAAAACATTAAGGCATAAAATACTTTAAAAATTAAGAAGATAATATATTGCAGACTTACCATTTTGGGATTATATGCCTCTGTGTAGTCAGACTGCACAAATAAGATGTTTTCAGGCTTTAAGTCTGTGTGAGTCAACTTATTACTGTGCAAAACTGAGAATGAAAAAAAAGTTGCTACAAAATCATAAAAAAGAAACCAAACCAAGTCCCCAAATTCCACAACAAAAATCTCCAATGCCTTTCCCACACGCTCAACAAAGTGGTCAACAACATTCCAATATGACAGAAAATCTCCAGGGACTAAAACTCACTACCCTCTTTAAAAAGTCCACTGACAGCTAATTTAATTACTTAAATGGCCAAGAAGCAGCCTGGGCAGCATGGAGAAACCCAGTCTCTACACAAAGTTTAAAAAATAAAGATGAGGTTGGGTGCGATATCTCACACCTACAATCCCAGCACATCGGAAGGCAGAGGCAAGAGGATTGCCTAAGCTCAGGGGTCCAAGGCCAGCCTGGGCAACTTGGCGAGACCTTGTCTCTACATCAAATAAAAAATTAGCTGGGAGCGATGGCACGTGCCTGTGGTTCCAGTTACTTAGAAGGCTGAGCCCAGAAGTTGACAAGAATGCGGTGGCCATGAGCATGCCACTGCACTCTGCCTGGGTGACAGTAAGACTCCTACTCAAAATAAAATAAAATTAAAATGAGCTGGGCCTGGTGGTGCATGCCTGTGATCCTAACTATTTGGGAGGCTAAGGAGGAAGGACTGCCTGAGCCCAGTTCAAGGGTGCAGCGATCCAGGACTGATTGTGCCACTGCACTCCAGCCTTGGCAACAGACCCCGACTCTAAATAAATGAATGAGTGAATAGAAGTAAGTAAATAAATATGCAAGCAAGCCAAGAAAGAAAGACTATCTTGTAAAAAACACGATGTGCCATGCTTTAATTTTTACCCAGGGTTCTGGGTTAGTATATTTTTTTTTTTTTTTTTTGAGTTGGAGTCTCACTCTGTCGCCCAAAATGGAGTGCAGCGGCACGCTCCTGGCCACCGCAGCCTCAACCTGCTGGGCTCCAGCGATCCTTCCGCCTCAGTCATCCAAGTAGCTGGAACTACAGGCGTGCGCTACCATGCCCGGCTAGTTTTTCATTTCATTGTAGAGACGAGGTCTTGCCAAGTTTCCCTGACAGGTCTTGAACCTGCGGGCTCAGGCAATCCACTCGCCTCGGCCTCCCAAAGTGCTGGGATTGCAGGCTGAGCCACTGAGCCCAGCCCATGGGTTAATATTTTTAGGAACTAGAAAAGCTAAATCATAGTCTAATTCAATAATATGTTGTTATACGAACAATAAAATGCACATTGCTTGCCAGGCACAGTGGCTCATGCCTGTAATCCCAGCACTTTGGTAGGCCAAGGTGAGGACTGCCTGAGTCCAGGGGTTTGAGACCAGCCTGGGCAACTTGGCGTTGAAACCTCATCTCTACCAAGAAAAAAATTAAAAAATTAAAAAAAAAGCCAGACATGGTGGCACATGCCTGTGGTTCCAGCTACTTGAAAGGCTGAGGCGGAAGGATCACCTGAGCCCAGCAGGTCCAGGCTGCGGTGGTCATGTACTCCAGGTCTGGGAGACTGAGTGAGACTCTGACTCAAAAAACAAACAAAACAAAAGAAATGCACACGGCTGACTAACAGCATGACATCAATTAAATTTTCCATGCATCTTCTCCCCTTATTTATTCTTAATTGACAAATAAAAATTGTGTATTTATGGTGCACATATTTTGATGTATGCATACACTGGAATAGCTAGAGCAAGATAAATAACAAAGATATGCCAAGAACTTACAATTCACAGACTTGCATATCTGATATGCCATCTTCCTGATATGATCCAGTCGAAATGGGAGAAAACCATTTTCCTTAATAAAGTCATAAGTACTAAGTCCCAGTAGTTCAAAAACAATGCAAATGTGACCATGATGCTCAAACCACTCCAACATCTGGACACAACGGCTATGAACACATGAAAAAGTAACTAAGTACAGATTCTCACAACTCAGATACACCTGAGGCCATTTTCCAAGTTTTAATTTGATACTTACAAAGTACTGTTGGGGTCTGTTGTATTTAAGTGTTCTAGAACTTGTATTTCTGAGCGAGCAGCTTCACAGTATCTATCCACATTTTTAACTATTTTTACTGCTACATGTCTACCTCCCCTGTTAGAAAAAACAAGTATAAATTGTAAAACAATGTAAATGATGCCCAATTCCATGTTTCTATCCCTCTCCTCAAACTTTACTACTTCTTCTCTGATCCACAGTATCGTCATTTTGAACTTATGGTTTAGCAAGTACTCTCTTCTAACTGCAATTCAATGTAAGCAACTACAATGATAAAGCTTTGAGGATATGGTATGTAAATATATGCTCAACATGAATTTCTTTCACCACCAAGTTACTTTTTGATTCTTCAACTAAAAAAAATCTTCCTACAGTACCTGTCACTGTCAAACATCTTAAATCTTCCTTTGGTCGAGATTACCAAAGAACTGGAATACATTGGGAGCTCAGGAAAGAGCTCTAGCTCTCAGAACTCTACCGATAATAAGAAGCCTCCTCAAATAATTCATTTAGAAAAGCTTTACCACTGGTCAGGCACAGTGGCTCACAAATATAATCCCAGCACTTTGTGAGATGGAGGTGAGAGAAATGCCTGACTGAGCCCAAAGTTTTGAGACCAGTCTGGACAACTTAGCAAGACCTCGCCTCTACAACAAATCAAACAATTAGTCGGGCATGCTTGCTGCATGTCTGTGATTCCAGCTACTTGGAAGGCTTAGGCAGAATGATCGACTGAGCGCAGCAGGTTGGGGTGGCCGTGAGCATGTCACTGCATTCCAGCCTGGGCACCAGCGTTAAAAACTCTGAATCCACTCCCGCCCCCCCAAAAGAAAAGAAAAACTTTCCCACTGAGAAAAACAAACAGCCAAACCAGAAACAAGAAAAAGAAAATGGAAGAGTTTTATCAGGACGAATTATGGTACTTCCTAAAAAAAAGTGTAAGTTCCTGGGTAACTACCCAGTAAAGGTCTGGAATAGGCAAAGCTCCAGAGACAATGCTAAAAAACCACTAATCCAGAGGGGAAAAAATGGCCACAACTGTGTCTAACAGGATAACAAAATACTTCTCAAAACAATGTTCTCAGTCTAAAACTGGAATTAGAAGCTGCCCATACCATGAACAGCTAGTGTTTAAAAAGTATAATGGGCAAGTACCTTTAACTGGGAGTTTCTTACAGTCAAGTCAAAAAGGGTATAAAGATATATAATTAAGATCAGTTTCTGACGCTCAATAACTACATTGGCCAGGGGCGGTGGCTCACACTCTGGAAAGTAGAGGCAGGAAGACAGTATGAGCCCAGGAATTCAAGACCAGCCTAGGCAGCATAGCAAGACCCTGTGCCTCCACAAAATTAAAAAACAAAACCAAAAAACCCCCCAATAATCTACATTGCTGACTTCCCCAAGCGTTAATTCCAGGACAGAAAACTTACGCTTTATGATCAATGCACTCCACGACTTTTCCAAAAGCTCCTTCACCTAAAGTATCAACAATTTCATCTAAAAGAGAAATAAATATCAGTCATACCAAGAAGTGGAAACAATGTGCTTATCATAATAAATGCTATCAATGCAGATTATTCTAGTTGATGCTACAAATTTCCTTATCACTAGGTATTATAATACTGGTCAACACCATCAAAAAAACATATAACTATTTTTAGGTATAATTCCATTCTTAGGCTAATTTCATTAATTTGATTACTGTTCTGGAAGTTCTGCATAATAAGCATTAAATTTCTAAAGAAAGCAAAAACACAATCCCCCCCACCAAAAGAAATGGAAAAAAAGAAAACCAACAAAATAAAAAAAAGAGAAAGAAAAGATTTCCAAATCCCTGAAAGCTTAATCTATATACAGATTATGTTATCTGAAAAGTTAAAAGTGTTGAAAAATATTCTATACATCTTGCACTTAGTACGTCTCCACTCTGACAGATCAGGTGACCCTCCTCATCATCCTCTACACTCCTGGTTCTTTTCCTTCGGTGACTCTTCTGGTAACGTCAAGTGGGCGGCACCAAGATCATCCAGCCAATCAATATACCCGAGTGAATTCAGGGCAGAATACGAAATTCATTCAGCGGGGAGATATTCAGGCATTCAGATACGCGCCAGGCCACAAACGGTTGGCAGGAGCAATTTCAAATTCAGTCCCCAGAAATTCACAGGGCACATAGTTTATGTTAACAGGAGAAAAACATGGCAAGGAACAGATTTTCAGATAAGATACTCAAAGTGGCAAGGCAACAAAACATAATACAATTGTTTCTCTTAAAAAAATGCTTAGTTGTAGCATTCACTGAAACATAACTAAGTCTCTAGTGTCTTAATTTAATGTTGCAAAATCATAGGAGATAATATTTACTTGTCAAAGTAGACTGGCCAAATTAAGATTTCCTAGCTAATCTAAGAAAACAAATATTAAAATGGTAAATAAATAAAATTAAAGTGCTAATTTTTTGGGGGGGAATTGGCACACAAGAATAACACTATGGCATTTTAAATGTCATCTGAGTTGATCTCCAATGAACATAACCCACAACAGCGCACATCTGTTGTAGCTTACACTAATTAGTGTCAAAAGGATCAGAGAACAAGCTTTGTCAGAACAAAGAGGCATACTTAATCCTCAATCGTTCAAAAATAAAATGCCTGTTATAGTTTTTGTAATAAACTTCAATTTATCAAAACAAATCAGATTTATTTTAGAATAGCTTGTAATCATTTTTATAATCTAACCTAAATTAAACTTCCCCTATTTTACTGGAATGACAATTAGGAGCCAACCAATAATGAAATCTGTTATTCTAGAACTAAACGTGTACTGCATTTCAGGAATTTCCTATCTAATACACAAACACAGAAAGAATCCTGCAAGTTAAAATTGAAATGACTTCATCTTAAACAAAACTTTCTCAAATAATCAAACAATCAAGTTTTCCTGTCACACACAGGAAATAAAATTTCCAAAATGTTTAAAAGGTGTGCATACCCCATGGGAACGATGATGGGAAGTGCTGTGGTGGACCCTGTGTTTGCTTTTATAACTACTCCTCCCACTTCTACCAGAAGACTTGCTACTGTGGTTCTGGTATCTGCTTTCAGGGTCTCTGTGGTGATGTCCAGGGTCACACCCGTGACTATAGTCGTTTCTGTATTCATCAATGTAGCGTCGACCATGATAATCTTTCTCATTTATAGACCTGCTTTCCAAATAATGGCTAGGAAAAAAAAACAATTTTCAACGTGTTATGCTAATAGCAAATACTGTAAAAATCTCAGTAAATCTCTTAAGATAGTACCGCTCAATTTTACGGACAAAAATACACAATTTTACAGACTACAAACCATCAAAATCTCCTCCTGGTAACACAAACGAGCAGTCGGTTACTTATCAGGTGACACCAGTTTTATCCTAAAGACCATCTGTACACCCAGACGCGGCCCCCCCTACCTGTCGGATGTCTTAGAGTGGTCGTACTTGCAGCGCTTGTTCTCCTGAGCACTGCTATGTGACCTCTTCCTTCTTTTGTGACCACTGCAGCTCCTCCACTTCCCATAGTCCCAATCCTTTTCATCCCAATCAGGACAATAAGCTCTCTTTGAGTGTCTCATCTGCATAAAGACAAGTTTTTCCTAGTTAAATTGTATCCCACACTGAACTGTCTGATAACCAAACTCCTCTTTGCAGATGTACCCCACTAGTGACCCAAAGTTCAGAAGTCGCCTCCCAGTGGAAATCACCAACGCTCAACCCAATGCTTGTGTCGTCTCAGATTCTAGAGTTTGAACTTTATTCACAGGTATTCTGCATTATCTACGAAACGCCCGGGTTTAGTTGAATTTTTAAAAACAGGAGGAATCCCTACTTATTAACGTTGGTAAACCTTCTGCCTGCCTTGGTAGCAGCGGCACACGGGTGCCCACGTCCCCCTTCCCACCTGGATGACTAAGTACGGGCCACTTCCGTAAACGGGTAAATCAAACTACCAAGGGCTTTTATCATACGCGGAAATCAACGATGACCCCACAGCACAAAAATGACAAAACACGCCGTTCCGAGTGCCAAACACCCCTCGGAACGCACGATCCCTATCAAAACTGAGTCTATCCTACCCGCAACGTCGGCCGGGGGCGGTGGCCCCGTGATCCCGGCACTCGGGGAGGATCACTTGAGCCCCAAAAGATAAAAATCATGAGTAATTAGTGACACCGTCTCTTCAAAGAATTAATGCATTCTCAACACTATCGACTTGGGGTTGAGGAATCTGAAGGATTCAGGATCGAACCTGAGGAATCTGCAAGACCGCACTTTCGGAATCAGTTCCACGGCTCGTTACAAGGGATGTTTCCCTAAACGTTTAGCGCACAAGGGGCCCCCCCCCCAAAAAAAAAAAAAGGTAAAAAGGAAGAGAAAGTCTCTACGGCAACAAACAACTTGATGACGTTACACAGGTGACCGCGTCGACAGCCGTTTTCACTGCCGGCCCCTCCGCGTCCCCACCGAAACGCCCGACCGCCGGCCTCCTCTCGCGCGCTCCTTCTCTCTCCCGGGGTTCCTAACCCGGCTTTTGCCAACTCCACTAAGGGCGTCCTCCCCGCCTCGCGAGACGACCGGCACCTCCTTCCACGAGACCGTCTCTTCTCCACTCGCCACCGCAGGGGGATTCAGGCATACTCTAGAACTCCGGCGAACGCCACCAGCGACAGGCGGCTCCGCCTCTCGGTCCAGGGCGTGGCCTGGTCTCCGCCCCGCCGCCATCTTACAGAGCGGCCGCCGCGGCGACAACATGGCGGATGACGGATGACGGACGCCGGGCTCGCCC